AAACTCTGGATTCCAGGTCTCAAACTAAGCACAAGGTATCAGCAGCCCACCATCATCAGAAATGAGGAATTGATTAGATGTGCTTATCAAATGATGACACAGCAGAGGAAAAAGTCATGAACTTGGTAAGTTGGTAGAAATTATACAAACAAAACAGAGGAAAACATGGAAAAAACAGAACAGACTCTCGAAGAGCTGTGACACAATAGTAAGCATGTGACTGAAGTAGCAGACGAAGACAGGAAAAATGTAGCAGAAGAAATGTTTGGGAAAATAATGGCTGCAAATTTTCCAAAGTCAGTGAAAGGTAAAAAAACCACAGATCCAGGAAGCTCAGAAAACCCCAAGCAAAATGAACACAGAGGAAAAAACACACCCAGGCACTTCATGGTCAAACTTCTGAAAACCAGAGATGGAGAAAATATGACAAGCAGCCAGAGAGAAACAAAGGAGCAAAAATAAGAGCTACAGCAGGGTTTTCATTTAAAAACTATGTAAGCTAGAAAGCACTAGCATGACATCTATAAAGTACTGAAAAGGATGGGGGAAGTCAACCCAGAATTATATACCCAGCAAAATCATCTCTCAAAAATGAAGGTGAAATAAAGATTTTGTTTGTTTTCATCGTAGGTGAGTTCAAAGCTTTCATTTCCATCTCCATCTTTGGAGGCATTTTCAAGTGCCCTCTTAGAAGAGTGGCTTTCCAGTATTCCAGCTTTCCCTTAGACTTTTTAAAAAAAACTTTCAATCTTGGGCTTCCCTGGTGGCGTAGTGGTTGGGGGTCCGCCTGCCGATGCAGAGGACACGGGTTCGTGCCCCAGTCCAGGAAGATCCCACATGCCGCGGAGCGGCTGGGCCCGTGAGCCACGGCCGCTGAGCCTGCGCATCCGGAGCCTGTGCTCCACAACGGGAGAGGCCACAGCAGTGAGAGGCCCGCGTACAGCAAAAAAATTTCAATCTTGAGATAATTTCAAACTTTAGAGAAAAATTGCAAGAAAAGGTCAAAGCATTCCTGCATGCCCTTCACTTAGATCACCCAATTAACATTATACTGCAATGATTTGCCTTGTGACTCTTTCTTCATGTGTATTTATGCATATTTTTTTCCTGATGCCTCATTATTCTTCTAGTACTTGTGTGTGATTTCCTAAAATACAAGGACAATGTCCTACAAAACTATCTGTTCACAGTGATATAGTACTATCATCTCAACCACAGACACCATTCAAATTTCACTGGTTGTCCCAAGAATGTCCTTTATAGGTCCAGAATCCAATCCAAGATGATTCATTGCATGTAGCTGTAATACCTCTTCAGTCTCCTCGGTCTTTGCTGTCTTTCATAACTTTGACAGTTTTCTGTTCATCACTGCTAAGTTAAATATTTTGTACTTCTTAGTTAATATATTACTTGGCATTTTACTGTAGAGCTTTTTCTTCTTACCCACTTATTTATTTATTTATATCAGTATGGACTAGTGGATTCTTATTTTTTTATTCACGGAGTTAAAATCCATTACTGTTATTATTTACTTTGATACTCAAATTGTTTCAGATGAAGCCAGAGGGAACCCCTTTAGTCTGGCTTCTGTATCCTTTAGACATGTCACCATCATTCCTTGAGCACGTTCTTACTTTCTGGAACGAGATGATCCAAGTTTATTTTGTACTTTCCTTACCCCAGCCCTCGAATCCGCCATTTCTCCCTGGAGTTCTGCTACCTTTTAGTAGAGAATGGTATTCAGAAATCAAGATATGGGTTTGCCCCTGGGGCTCATTGTTCTTGGCCTGTCTAGGGGATAGAGCTCACAGATATATGTACAGTCGACCCTCAGCACCCATGGGGGATTGGTTCCAGGACACCCAGACCCCTCCCCCGCCAACCACAACCATACCGAAAATCCCTGGATGCTCAAGTCCCTTATATAAAAAAATGTAGTGCAGTCGGCTCTCCATCTTTCCAGGTCCACATCCATGGTTACAGAAGGCTCTGTGTATGTATATCGCACATGTGTACATACACACACAACTATATCTATTTCTACATTTATCTACACATATAAAAAGCTGTGTGTTCATCCAGATAGCTCCAATTCCAATCCAACTCCACAAGATTTATTCTAGTCTTCCTCATTTCCATCTTTGTAAATCCGTTCCCTGACAATGAGAAGCCTGGCTCCCATTATTCTCAGTGTATTTACTTATTTGTTCAATCCCCTTATACGTAACCAATCTCTGACCCTGCCAGCCAAGGACTCTTCAGCTTTGTGGTGACCACATTGGCCACTGCACAGAGAGGGAGAGGCAGTGCTTCGGGTTTTGACTCTGTGATTCCATAGCATCGTGTCAGCCCTTTGATGCTTTGAAGAATTGTTTACCCTTTCCTCAACATTATTTTCTTCTTTTTAAAAAAATTTTATTGAAGTATAGTTGATTTACAATGTTGTGTTAATTTCTGCTGTACAGCAAAGTGAATCAGTTTCCTCCACATTTTTAGTTGTTTTCAACAAGACTGTTGTCCAGAATAAAGTTGCCTGCAATGGTCTCATAAATTGAATTAAATATTGTTTTCATGTGCTCTACGAGGGGAAAAGGTCAGGAAGCACTGCTTTGGGTGTTGTCCATTCTCCATGGCCAGTGTCGCCTGGATCAGGTTTCGTTGTGGTTCCCCATAAGCTTGGCCAACTCTAGGCAAAATCTTAAATTGAACCACTTTCATTACATCCAGTATTCAATGGTAGCTCAGTTGCAATTCTCAGTTGAAATCTAGAAAAGGAGAAGCAGCACACAGCTCTCCCTAGCCCAAACTTCAGTATGTGTAGGAGTCACCTGGAGGTCTCCTTAAAATGCTGAATCTGTTTCACCTAGTCTGGGGTGGGGCCTGAGATTCTGTATTTCTAACAAGTTTCCAGGGGATGCGAATCCTGTGGTTGGAGAACTGTGCTCTGAGTAGCAAGAGTCTCTATTCATCACCTTTATTCCAGTGGTCAGCAGGGAGAATACTAAATTATACAACCAGTAAAATTTAGACTTTTTTTTTTTTTTTTTTTTTTTTTTGCGGTACGCGGGCCTCTCACTGTTGTGGCCTCTCCCGTTGCGGAGCACAGGCTCCGGACGCACAGGCTCAACGGCCATGGCTCACGGGCCTAGCCGCTCCGCGGCATGTGGGATCCTCCCAGACCAGGGCACGAACCTGTGTCCCCTGCATCGGCAGGCAGACTCTCAACCACTGAGCCACCAGGGAAGCCCAAACTTAGACGTATTTTTAACCTTTAGATGTTTTTCATTTGCGCACACACACGCACACATGTGTGCAGAAGAGCGGAGTGAACCCCTAAGTACCACTGGCATTTACCAATCTTATTTTATAATTTCTCCTGCCCCTGACCTTTCTATTCCTAGAGTATTTTAAAGCAAATCCAGCCATTATATTGTTTCAGTGTGCACCTCTGACAGACAAGCCTTAAAAAAGTAATAACCACAGTGTCGTTATCACATAAAATAAACAATACATATAACCCACAATTAACCGTAATTCCTTGGCATCATCCGATGCTCAGTTCCCATCCATATTCTCAGGTTCAGGCAATAGCTGAGTGCACTGGCCTGCTGCTCCAGCTCCCAGTTCCCTCGCCTTAGCTGAACACCTGTCGCCACGGTACTCGGGCTTTCCTTCGGGGCTGAGGGCACAGGTATATCCCTCCCCAAACCGCCTTTTATGGCTTGCCAATTTCATTCTTGGAGGAACTCTGCTAATAACAGCGCAAGCTTTAGGATCATGCCCTTTGACCCACCTTCCTGGGTCTCCTCTCAGCCCTCTAGCCTTGAGGCTGGGACAGGAAACAGGAAAGCTGGACAGTTCGCCCTGTCACAGGTTGGCAGCCGAGGTGACCGTGATGTAGACATTTGAAAGAGGAGAGACTGGGGGCATGGGGGAGGGGATCAGGCCTCCCGAACTCTTCTAGCTGCAAACTCTAAACTTTTCCCAGGCATCCTCCCATTACCAGGACCCCACTCCGTTGTTAATCAGTGTGCTGATTGGGTTGTGAGTGGTCAGCTGACTCTCCAGCTCTCCAATCTCTGGCTATAGCCACAAAAGTCTTCTCTTCACGAAGGATCACACGGAAGCTTGTTTCCACCCTGCCTTCATGCTGCCCGCTGGCCCAGAGCTTGTCTCCCTCACAGCCTATCTCTGAAGCAGCCAGCACACTCTATCCCGACATTTTCCTACCAAGTCCCAAGCCTCTGGTGGTCCCTGAACCGCAAGAGATGACACGTGGTTTCCCAGCCAACCGCTTCCTGACCAGATAGTGAGGGCGTCCGAATCCCCCGCCTGGGACAGAGAGGCCAGCCTCTGGGCTCCACACCCCACCTGCTCAGCGACACCTGGAACAGGAGCCCTCACTGCGACGCTCACTCTCTAGGTTCCAAATTTGGCATTAGTCGGGGCTCTTCTGGCTGTGTGTGACAGAAATCAAACGCACAATTGTTTCAGCCAAAAGGGGTTTATTTCTTGAGAGGGTGTGTGGATCTCATGAAACGGCCTGGTCCCAGGAAAGGCAGAGGGAAACGGGCTTCCTCTTGTCTGTCCCGCCTCTTCTTGGACATGAGACCCCCTCAGAGGGGCAAGAAATGTGGGCCCCCCCAGACCCAAACTTCAGGCCTCACAGAAGTGCCCTCAGTGCTGCTGACCTCAGATGCCCAGGTCCACCTCAGTCCCATTAGGTTGGGACACCTGGGGTGGGGGGTGAGCTAGGCATCAGCTCCCCAGGTGACTCGAATGTGCGCGCCAAGAGCCGCTGCTTTATAGCGTCAGGCACCCAGAGACACTCTTCTGTAGTTCTTGCTCATAGTTCCGGGGGCCAGGGCTCAGGGGCCCACCCCCTCCAGCCCCTGAGACGCCCCTGTGTACGTGCAGCCGCTGCCACGCTGGGGCGCCTGTGGACGATCCCACAGCAGCTCTGCCATCTGCTTCTCCCCTCCCACCCCTACCTTCTCCTGGAGAGTGCATGCGCGATAGTCATCTTGTCTGACCACCTCTCAGAGGCACGTCAGGGGAGAAGGCTGAGCTGCGTCCTTAGGATCTGGTGACTTGGTGGGAGATGGCCTAGGACAGGTGGTGGAGGAAGCCAGGACAGAGCTGGCTGAGGGCAGGGGAAGGCAAGGGATAGTTCTTTCCAAGAGCTGTGGCCAGCTCTTTCCAGTCAGGAGAGACAGAGGGCAGAGGCCAGAGAGAGACTCAGGGTCCCGGGAGGATGTCTGGGATGGAAGAGGCCTGAGCATGAGGGCAGGGGCTGATCTGGGTTAATTTTCTCTTGACTGGGGGTCTCCAATCAAGGAGGTCCTGGTGCCAACCCAAGGACAGCTAGGGAGGTTCCTGATCAGCTTGGATGCGCTGTGTAACCCACACTGGATCTGTCTCCCTCTCTTTGTGCCCAAGGACCCCAGGGACCAGCTCTGACCTCTCTGAGCCAGGCCCCACCCTCATCATACCAGGGACAGATCAAATGACACCACACTCAGGGCTGGATGTTCACTTTTCTTTCCAAAAGATACAAAGCACCCCCGGTCTAGGTGTGGCAGTGGGACAGAGCCAGGCTGGGGAACCTGGACATTACACACCCAGGGGGCCCTTGGTGGAGGCAGACAATTTAACAACTGGTCTGAAAGTCAAAAGAGAGGAGAGCTGGTTAGCGGGGGGAGCAGCAGGCAGTGGGGGGTGGCAGGGGCTATGGGGTTCAGGCACGGACCCAGGGACTGGTCAGTGCGGCTCACAGCAGCCCTGCCGGGGCCCATTTCTGGGGCAGGGGTGACATGGCCTGGATTAGCCATCTGTGTGGATGTCCATGCAGCACTAGGCATACTGCGAAACCTGAATTCAGAGGCAGCAGGGCCAGGCCTCCTGGTCTCTCTGAACCTGTTTCCTCGTGTGTAAATGGGGGACATTTGTCCCCCGGCACTGCCTCCGTGGGGTTGCTGTGAGGAGCCCATGGGCTGGGGGAGGCGATGAGCTCTGGTCACCCCAAGGGCACTGGGCACCCAGCTTGTCTTTACTGCTGTGTCCTCGAGGCCCAGCACAGAGAAGACACTCACACAACCTGTCAGTGAGTAAATAAGTGGTCGTGAAAGGGACTGCAGCTGGCCGGGGTGTGGACAGGTCAGTGCCGTGCTTGCACCTGTGCCGGCCGTGCGTGTGCGCCTGAGGGCTGGGGCCTGCCTCCCACCTCTCTCTGAGTGTCTGGGTCTGAGTCTCAGAGCGCAAGGTGGGTGCCTGGGTTGGGGACAAGTTGCTCAGAACCTAACCGAGCTGGGGGGACACCCTGCGCCCTCCTGGCCCCGCCCGGGGTGCTGGCAGGGGCCGGCAGATGCTGCGCGGGGCTCAGACATACTCTCGGGCAGCCGCGGAGGGGCCGGGCCGGTAGGGCTGCGGGCTACTGTTGGATCTCTCGGGCTCCTGGCACGTGCAGCAGAGGAAGGAGCCGCCCAGCACGGCCAGGCCGGCGGCGGCCCAGCCCAGAAACAGGGCTGGACCAAACTCGTACCTGCAAGGGGTGGAGGACGCCATCAGGTGTGCCTGCGCCTCCGCCCCGCCCCGTCCTCCCCCGGGGGCTCCCGGCCTCCGCCCTGGCAGAGCAGAGGGCGGGCTGGACGTGGGGAGCTGAGGCTGGGGCCTCACAAGCGTCCTCGGACTCGCCCGGTAAGTTGGGATGAGCGCTCACCTTTCCTCCCGCCCCTGCCCCAGCACATCAACACCACCCGGTGCAACCCAGCTCAGGCTGGGCTGCTCCGCGCAGCCTCGAGCCCCTTTCCTCCTCCGGCCAGATGAGGGGGCGTGGGGGGGCCCGCCAGGCCCGTCGGGGAGAGGAGGGGCGGGGCAGTCCTGTCATCTCTCTCGGTCACGGTCTGGCCCACGGAACTCGCCGCCGGGCTCCCGCCGCCCTCTGGAGAAGGCCAGACTCCTCCGCCGGCTCCACCTGGCACTCCGGCCTTTCCACCCACAAGCCCAGCGGGCCAGCCCGGCGCCCCCTCTGCAGCGTTCGGGTCTCCCCACCTCTGTGCCTTTGCACGAGGCGCCCCCTGCCGGAGCGTCTCGCCTCCGGTGCTCCGCCTCCAGGGCCCAGTTCAGATGCCACCTTCTCCGAAGGCTTCCCCTGAACCCCCCTCCGCTCGCTGCCTGGCGCTGACTCTCACTGGGTGGCTGTTCAGTTCCTTGTTTGTCTGGCTCCCTTGGGAGCAACTTGAGGGCAGACAGCACCGGATTCATCCATGTCCCCAGGGCCCAGCACAGGACCTGCAACTCAGGCAGCCTTGCGGAGTGTTGAAGGGACAGGAGCAAGCACCAGCTTGCTCCCCAGGTATCTCTGAGCAGAGCTACCTCTTGCTTGGCAGGTTTTCATGGCTAGAGCTGCCAGCCCCAGGGAATGAACCTCACTCCTGAAGTCTTCATTTCCTCCCCCTCTCCACTCTGCTGCCTCCTCCAGGGAGCCCTCCTGACTGCAACAACCCAGGCATCTCTTTTCTCATTCTCCTTCCACCCCAGGGCCCAAGGCCTGTTGGGATGTTTGGGGTTGAGACTATCCCATTCTCTGCTCCCCACAGAGCTGAGAGGTAAGGGAGGGGCCAGGTCCTTCACAGAGCCCCCTATTCGGCCCCCATACCCTGGCCTTATAAGTCCTGACCACTCTAGCTCCTAAATATCTCTGGGCCTACTCTCCACTGCTAGCCCCTGGCCCCAAGCCCTCTGCTCCAGACCTTTTCATCAGCACCTTACTGGCCTTGCTCCCTCCCCACCATTCTGTACACCACAGCCAGAGGGACTGTCCTGCCTTCCACACCAGGACACGGAAAAAAACCTTCCTATGGCTGCAAGGCCCTCTGCCATCTGCCCTTAGGACTTTTCCAGCCTCATCTCTCCGGCCCAAAGTCACTGTGCCTCCTACAGAAATAACAGCCCAGGCACTGTGCTGAGTCCCTTACCTGCACCATCTCACAGAACCCTCACAACCACACTGAGCTCTGTCCTCGGTCCTAGCTGCCTTTTACAGGGGAGGAAACCAGGCACAGAAAGGTTAAGGAACTTGCCAGTCACACAGCCAGCCCGTGCAGAGCTGGGATTTAAATCCAGAGCCATGGCATTTAGCTACTGGGGTTGCATTCAGGGCCCAGCCACAGCTGCTCCCCACTCCGGAGAGCTTCTCAGTAACAGCACCTGGGGCTCGTCCGTCCCCTGTTTCCCCCTCCAAGTGCCCTGCTGGACAAAGGCCAGTGGTCCCAGAGGAGGTGGAGCGGGAGGCCCAGCCTGTTCCCTGGCCCAAGCCATGCCCTGGTGCTCACCTGGCGTTGACGGGTGTGCTGGGGTTGAAGAACTCCTGGGTCACCAGTGTGGCATACCACGGGGGGGGGGCGGGAGGGGGGGGGCGGGGGGGGGGGGGGGGGGGGGGGGTCTCAGCTCTGCTCTGGCCTCCAGAGGGCCCCCCAGGATGGGGCTACCTGCCACGGTCAAGAGGATGGAGGAGGAGCCAGGCACTCACCCGCCAGGAGGAATAGGGCACCCCCAGCGATGGCCACTCGGCCCTTGGCGATGGGGTTGCTGTCTCCGACCCGGGTGCACTTCATACCGATGACACTGAGGACCATGGCCACGAAGCCCAGGAGCACGGCCACCACCATCAGGGCTCGCGCTGACTGGATGTGACCTGGTTGGGGTGGGAGGGACTGAGCGGGGGGGGGGGGGGGGGGGGGGGGGGGGGGGGGGGGGGGGGGGGG